TGCTGGGCACAGGGCGTGAGGTCGCCAACTGAAAAGGCGAGACTCCAAGCCGTCCCTTCTCGAAGCCTAGGCAAACATGCAGGAACTTTGGAAGCATCTTTGCCCCTACTCGCTGCATTTCATGAGAGCTACAAGAGACAAGCTGGTGCCCAAGCCACTGAGCAGACTAGAGATTGGTTGCAGTGGATTGTGTCTTGCGGCTTTGACTGAGATTCACAACGAGTTGCGGCATCGGTAGATAGCTAGCCGATAGCTGTCTGGAAGCGGATGGGACTGCAGGGCAGGTCAATGCGTGACATTTCAAACCGCACGATGAAATGCTGCTGCATCACCGGCATATTGAATGAGACTGAGGGGATTACGCCTTTGCCTTTGTGCACCCAGGCAGAAGATACAGGGTTGGCTTTCAAAGATCCCAAAGGCATCGACTTCAAATGAACCCAAGGTGGATGCTATTGCAACAGCTGCATAACCACAATAACCTGCCCAAGATGAGGTAGCCTGCCGATTTCAGCGTTGTGTTCGTCACGTAGCGCTGAGGCCCGTAGGATATGCTTATCCTTACCTGGCTCAATTTCCAATTGTGAGTTCAGTCAAAAAAGACTACCTAAAGCTAGATCAGAGGCATGCGCCCAAGGGCATGTGAAATGTTCCTTGATTGAAAGTTTGATGCCATTCGAGCAGGCATGCACTTCCCGCGCTGGAAACACATGCGCTCCTAGAAGGTTGCGGTTGATGTCGCCTAAGTTGACTCCAAATACCGCAAGTCCTGTGACGGCCGGAAGGACGCCCATTTCGTCAGATCGAGATGCTCGATATCGGATGCCGGAACGGAGGCATGGCCAAGAAGAGATCGTGCCAGCTGGGAGTACACTTCTGTTCTTGTGAGATATTTGGTGCATTTCTTGTGAGATCGGCAACAAATCGGAGAACTCACAAACCGTTTTTCTGCAAGTTCATGCAAGTTCCATTTTTTGCGTCTCGACCTGGAAGGAACTCATGGGAGCAGTTGTTTGCCCGGTGAGTGCGGGGCAATCTGCGAGCTGAGCAGCCGCATTGGGAGGGCGCCTTTTGCGTGGTCTTTTTTATCATGTTCGATCAGGAAGACTTTCAGTGCCAGAAGCCAACGGTCAGTCGGCCACTTCCATGACATTTAAGCTCTACAGCAGTTACAGTGATGACAATGAACCTTTGGACTCTGCACCAAAGTGATTTTAGGACCCGAAATTGGATTGCGATTGTGCTGCGGCAGGCGGTGTAAAACCGGATTCTCGACCTTTCCCTGCCGTGTCGTTGGTATTTTTGTCTCAGCAGAGAAGTTCTGTTGCGAACAGATTGCATTCACGATTTCATCCAATTCTTTTGCATCATTCCCATAACAAATTCAGAAAGAGGCAACATGTGGCTGTTGATTCCAAGCTCGACGGTACCTCAGATTGAAACAGAAGTGGCAATTAGTTGCGTAAGGCACAAGATCAGCAGTTATTTAGGATTCGTTGTAGCTTGGTCACCTCCACAGATTCCGCAGTTCAATTTTTCTTGCAGTGCCGCAGTTGCATCACTTCGTTTGCGCCCTTGCTCCGAAAAGTATGCGGTATGGAAGCAGGCAAGAGGTTTTGGCAATGCAATTTCCAGACGGAAGCAGCTTAAGGAGAAAGAAGCGAAACGTCAAAACATCTGAAAACCATCCGTGCCCTGTGACCGCCAGCCATCTCAGACGGCGTCCGATGTTCCATTCTGTTCCCTGTCGCCTGTTAGCACTCGCTCAATGTCCAGTGTCAAATGTTCCGCCATGTTTGCCCTTCGGCCCAAAGGCATGGAGGCTTTCCAAAGCAAACCACAAGGCTGCAGCCATTGCCTTGAGTATCTTGAGTTGTGAAGGCCAAGCTTTTTCCTATGCCGGTTGATGTCCCTTGTCCTCGACTTACTATCACATGAACTTACCAATGATTCGATTTCGGTTTCAGCTTTTCGTTTCTTTTCGGCTCTTTATTCTTGAAAGATTTCAGCCAAAAAGCTTCAACAAGAGCAACAAGAAGCGAAATGAGCAAAAACCTTAGTGAAATATCATGAAACATCATTTCTGACCATACAGCCTACCTTCGGGTGTTTATGCAGACGTGTTCAGAGCTTTTCGAGTCCAGTCACCGCCAGCGTGCGGCTTCAAGGATCTTCAAAGCTTTCCTGGCCGGTCGGGGCGACACTGGCGACACACCGAAGAAGTGGATGGACAATGGCAGGTGATGTGTTAGCTGCCATCCTCAAATTGCTGGAGCATGTGCGGCGTGCTGGTCCACCCGGTCCACCTCCACCCGGTCCGCAAAGAGAAACGGTGAAGTGTCAGTGCTGGCGGATCTCATTGACCTCTCGGAAATGATTGAAGGGCCGAAGGGTGTAGTGCTCATGAATCTCATCCACTTTTGTTCTGAGACATGGATCGAGCAGGTCACATGCACTCGACTTTGCTCTTCGCTTCGCTGTGTCGAGTTCGCGGGTGCGGCTGTGTCGAACAAGCGAGCCAGAAGCCCAATGGACATCGAGAAACGTCCTGGGAAACCTGCAAGTTCCTCTAAGAAAGCGTCGCTGCAAGGGATGTGTCTCAAATTGCAGTCGAACAGCCTAATGATATGCAGAATATCCTTTGTGTCATTCTCGATCAGGAAGACTTTCAGTGCCAGAAGCCAACGGTCAGTCGGCCACTACACGAAAAAGACCAAAGATCCAACCAACTTCTAAAGCAGAAGACGCTCTAAAAAATCCTCAAAAACTCCACAGATCCCTTCAAGTGTGGTCTCAGAGCTGCTTCAGCAGGCTTCACATGGCCGCCGAAAGGGGGGTCCGTGAAGCTTCGGACCGGTCTTCGGACCAAAACGGTGGGCCTGAGAGCGTATTTTCGGCTTAGTTTGCAGCGCGAGGCTCCATTAGCAGCCATAGCCAGAGCACCAAGCGCCACGCACAGAATTGGCCCTGAGAAGGCATGCAGAGCGACAAACAAAGCAACAAGGCATTTGCTCCAGCAAATGATTGTCGACTCAACATCCCTGAGGCTCGGCATGGCTCGCCACAAGCGGCAGGTTTCCGCCCAAACCAACTATTTGTAGTATCTGGAGCGGGTTTGTGGAAAGGAAGTCCGCTTAGTTTGTTTAACTACCGGCAACTACCGCATTCCAGAAAAAGCCGAGACAACCCCGGCTCGCAATACACCGTGACGGGTAACGGCTGGTCTGCCGAAAACACTCGTGAGAATGACCTGTGACCCCAACTTCGGGACCGGTCGGCCGTGGAAAGTGGCCCAAGACCTGACCTGCAAAGCATCCAACGATCCATGAGACGCATGAGATCCACCCTCCGTCCTTGAAGGTTCGGATCCGCCATAACCTCCCACATTCGGCCCATGGCTCAAGCACAGATCATGAAGGGACCTGGCTTCAGAGGCTCGGCAGTGCCGCATCGCCCAAGCTTCTGCGGCTTACCACTTTCCGGACGTTAAGTTGAGACGTGGATTCTCAGCGTTGATTGCTGCTTCCAAAGCAAGCCGCCATTGCCATGTCGATTCTGAAGATGGCCCTTTCTTTCTTGTAAACTTCAGTAAATGTGTGGGTGGCAGGAAACTTGCCTTGCCTTCCAGTTGAATTCTGTCAGCCCAGGATTTTGGCAAAGCCAAAGCTGCGTGGCCGATCCTGCTCCAAGCTGAAAGACTTTCAAGATCGGTATGTTGCACCGCTTTATCTTCAGATTTTGGTTGCCCCTGAATCACCGAGATCGCCCAGCAATTGGCTGCAACTGGTAGACTTTACCATCAGCTTTGGTCGGAGGGTTACCCCGAACCAGCTCAACATGGAGTGCTCCAGGATTAGATTGACTTGCCGTGCATGCCTAGTAGCACTTTCGCAAGAGAAAGGCGCATCTCATGCACTTGGCTTCGCTGAGCGCCAAGCAGCGTTGCAACGGGTGGTTGTGCATCCTGGGACTTCTTGGCAACCATCAGACTGCCCATTGACCCAATTGAATCCATCTGATCAATTTTTCACAGCAAGGTAGCCCCTGCAGCTCGAGCCCTAAGTGCAAGAGATTCAACCAGGGGTGCGCTTAGGGCTCGAGATTC